TAGCAGCCTCCGAGACAGTTGAGCCCAACACCTTCTCTCGCTCTGTCCTAATCCCTTCCTCATGTCCACTACTGAACTGAATATTGGCAGAGGCAGGATGTTGACGTGTCTCATGTCACTTTAAAAATAGAATGTCTCCGCTACTGAACAACGAAAGATAAGAGCAGTCTAAAATTGGGAATAAATCGATCTTTTCTGTGGTAGTCTCCTGAAGTCAGTTACCTGTCCTATGGGTATGTCGAGCATCCAGGAAGAATGCTCGCTAGGTGGCGCTCGTTCTCCACTGTGCAGGTAATCGAGCTCTGGTTTCTTTTTCACACTTGTGGAAAGCTAAGCCTCAGGGGAAAATGTTTTCCTTGGGGTCATTTCTTAGCAGCTCAGACTTGAAAGCACTATTTTATCTCTGAACCCAATGGGTTTCTACCACCTTGCCTTCCCTTCCTATGTGTAACCACACAAAGTTCGTTTATTGCTGTTTTTTAAAGCGGTTCTCTCTTCTTTACTAGGTTTGGTTTCAACTCAAAGGCCTGAGAGGACCCGCTGCACTGTCAAACGTCCAGAACATCATTAGGTTTGCTTACTTTCTTTGATTTCTCCGGGTTCAGATAAACTATTTTAGAATGAATAATTACAGAAACGAGTAAGGAAACGTTTAATGAGGAAAAAAATGAAGATTAATGAGAGCAACCAGCTAGGTTGGGAATTCAATTTGATTGGCATTAAGTTGACAATTCCGAATCCTGATTTAGTCACCCACTGATGGCCTTGAGACTGCTTCTCCTGTGTAAAGCAAAGTGATTTTCCGCTCATCACCCCCCTGGGGGGGATGTACTTTGCATGAAGCAGTAATTTCCGACTTCTTGGCGGTACCCTGGCCTGGGTTCGTTTGTCTCTCCTGTCTGAAGAACCAGAATGCTGTAAGTGAAAACCCCTGCTGGGAGCGAGCTGACTTGGGCACAGAGGAACCCGTTTTGCTGGTTTGACCCCCGGTGTACTGCGGCTGCCTGGAGAACACCCGGGGCCCTGAAGATGAAGACCGCCGATCTGCAGAGCGATCGTAAGGCTCCAGTTAGCCAACATACTCATCATATTCTTTCTCCTTTGCTCCTGCAGCTTGACAGCCAGCTGAGAGAGCTCCGCTCTAAGCCTGGTTTTAAAGGAATGAAAACTGGAGCGAGCAAGTGACTTCACTCCTTCCAAGTCACAGAGCCCAGTATGCATAGTGTGGCCTGCACCCTTGCGCTGGGCGTGGTGAGGGAGCAACCTCGGCTCCTGGGGTCAGGAGAGGTTCGGGCGACACCCAAGCGTAGCAGCAGCAAGGTCACTGCAGAAGATTCCCCAGCACGCCCCAGAAGTGCATGCATGTGCGCAGAAGCTTGCCACGAAGAATTGAAGCTGGGGCTTATCCCATGCCAGCCCCCGCGGCGTTCCCATTCTCAATACGGGTAGATGAACCGTAGTCCACGATACACTAGGCCCACGCAGCCTAAGGGAACAAGGGCGCCCACACGTAGGGGGCGCGCGGGAACCAGAAGAGGTGCTGGCCCCGCGCGGGATCCTGGAGAGGAGGTAGCTGGAGGAGGAACGGATGGAGTGGGAGGAGAAGGGATAGAGAGGTCTATGAAAGTGTAGGACCTGGGGGAGGTGGAAGGTGGGTGGGCGGGAAGAGGCCGGGGAGACAGGCTCAGGGTGTGGACAGATCTTGTGGCAAGACATGGCTCCTAGTTCGTCCGACTTCTGGTCACTCCAGGCCGGAGATCAGAGCCAGAGACAGGCCTGGAGCCACATGGGGACCACGGTTTTCTGAAGGTAGCTGCCTGGACTGGAGGCAATCTCCCTCGTTGCCCTCGACAGGAGACCCGGTTGTGCCTGAGCTATCGCGGAGCACATCTAGACCTCCTCTCCGTGCCCGCGCTGACCTCCTGAGCTGGCCTAGACTCAGAAAATACTCAAGGTACTTCAGTGTGTCCTGGCCATCTGGGCACAAAGCTCCCAACGCCTTTTCATCCCTTGCTAGACCTTGTTCTTTTTAGAAACTTCCTCGATTTGTAGTTACGACCCCGAACCCGTATGTTTATCTTCCTCCAAACACCCCCCTCCCGGCCTTGCTTGCAGCCGTCCCTCATTAAACCTAAAAATCTGTTAACCTCAGCGAGCGTGCTTCACCCAGCTCCTCCTGGAGATGCCCGTTGAAACCACTTCGTTATTCTCATGCAAACACAATCAGCACTGACAGCTTCTAAAATCACCAAACAGTGGTTTTCCCTGCATGCTTCGAAAATATCTGCCACTTCTGTGGCAACTTGTGGTTTGAGATTCTTTTTTATTTTAAACGGTTATTTCTGCCAACTAAACAGTAATCATTACTTCAAATAAGTAAATGACCACCAAACTTAACTCTTGCACTCAGTCATCCACCCTCAGACATCCTTGTCCCTCAGTAGGTCCGGGAACTCACCGATTCTTGCACCCACCGATTCCTATGTCCACAAGCAAGCGCACACAGGCGCACATACTGTACACTTGCCTAACCTCGTTTTTCTGGCAATCTATGTCCCTTGTCCTCCACTGGTTCCCTAAAACAAAGTAGCTGTATACATTCTCAACACCCCAGCATGAGGCGGAGGAAAGATCAATTTTAATAAAACATGAAAACATTGGAGGAGGCATGGGAAGCTTCGTTTTGAAACCTCATAAGCATTTTGTTGGGTCCTTTTCCTGGCCTGAAGACCGTCCCTTGGCTGTTACACTTGCCAGATACTAACAACAAATTTAAATCTTTGCCTCAAACATACACAATTGTGAAGAACTATAGAGTCCTAGCCTCTTCGAGGGAGCCCCACCCCTCACCCCAAGGCATCCCGCAGCATCTTTATAGGCAATTGCATCCCTGATTTCTACAAGCTCCGACTGTCCTCCCCAGGTGGACAATTTTGAATAGCTATAACGATTTCTTGCCTGCAGTGCAGAATCAGCCAGAGGAAACTCTTATTTTAATGGCACCAATGAAGAAATCTCCACAGCTTATTAAACTAACATAATTATTTGAATGTATTCAGTGGTTCAAATTTGTGTATTGCATGTTGTTAAACCTCTGAACAAGTTTATTCAACCGTGAAACATGTCACTTGAACAAACTTTCTATTAGAAAGAAGTTATATAAATAGGCAACATGTGTTTTGACATAACCACAATATTTGTATCTTGTATTTACTTCCTTCTAGTGAGTAAAACGATGTGGCTCTTATTTTTTAAGGGCATTAAATATTATCAGTTCTGGATCTCACTGTTGTGTAGCTCCCAGATAGCCTCTTTAAAACTTACCCATTTCTACTCAACACAGAAGAAACGGTATTTAAAGAACACATTAAATACTTTTTTATTTTTTTCTTGATGTAAAACATTGAACGAAGTCCAATTAAATTCAGCGTTGACTGCTCAGGGAGACTCCTCAGAGGCTTCCAATTCTTCGCTTGTCTTAGGGCTTAACTAATATTTTTTAACCTAGCTTTTCAATTCATCTATAGAAGCCAATCCAATCAAACATAAGGAGAGAAAATATTTAATAGAGTGATTTTAATTATGAGATTATTTCAGAAAAGAGAATTAGCAGAGAAACAGCCGCGAAACTTAAGAGTGGAAAAACTATGATTTTTGTTCTTTGACTCTGGGCTCCTTCCTAGAGAACAGAAACTACCTACACGTTACATATGGACACGCTCTCCGTTGAGTTTTCCCCCCGAAGATTTGGGCTGGCGTTAGTATCCGGTGTTCCAGAAATCTCTGGAGTAGGTGCCTAGATGAGCTGAAATGAGGAAGATTTTGAGATGAGTATTCCTCCTTATTGCTGAAGGATGATAAGAGAGCCAGGTTTAGGGAGGGAAGGGTTAATTCAACCCTGACTTCAGCTACTCATTGTGCAGAGCAGAGTCTCTTAAAGTCAACGGCCCCCATTTGGAACCAGCCAATCCCCTGTCCGGAGAGCCCAGAACAGCCCGTGAAGGGGCGTGGCCTGGTGCTGTCACTCAGTGGTGAGGAATGACACTCTGACGGGAGGGGGGTACAGTGGAACCCAGGAGAAGGAAAAAGAAGAAACAGATAAAACAGGGGCAGAGGGTAAAAAGGTATCCCGTTCTTCTCCAATTTTAGGGGCCTCAGCTGTCACCGTGGGCGCCAGAGGGGTGGGCTCCGGAAGAGCCAGCCCAGAGGGGAAGAGGGAGGACCCGCCAGGAGCGAAGCCCTGCAGGCAGGGAAGACAGAGGCGCAAAGAAAAAGTGACTCCGGCGGTGCGCCGCAGCGGCGCTCCGAAGGCGACTGCAGACGCCGAGAGGACCCTTGACAATTCTCACCGGCCTTCCCCTCTGGGACAGACCCCGGCTGGCCCCCAAGGCTACCGGACATGAGATAACCTAGCCCAGCTGCGGGAAGAGGGAGTCTGGCGCAAGATTGGGGGGAGGGAGTCCAAGCGAGGTGGGCCTGTTAGGTGGG